AATCATTATGGCAGTGTTATTATTAATTATTGGCTTAAAAAAACACAAGTGGAACTGAAATTTCAAATTAAGAAACCAAGTTATGCGGTGTCCCCCAGGGTTCTATTTTAGGCCCATTGTTGTTCTTGATATTCATGAATTATATTTTCAAAATATTCTAACGAATTCACAACTTATTTTATGCAAATAAAAGCTTAAAAGCATTAGAATAAAAATGTAACTTCCTAAATCAAATACCTGGCTTATTATTAATTACAAGATATTAAAATATTGATATTAAAAAATTGGTAGGCTTAAACACATTGGAATTAAATGTTAACATAGACCTTGCTAAATTAAGTAACTGGCTTTTTATTAATTTCAAAATATTTTTTGAACATTTCAAAAGAAACTTTCTCTGGAACCTAATATAAATAATATTGATATAAACTCAAATAGAACGAGGATTTTAATAAATATCTCGTAATGTTGTTAGACAGCAATCTTTTCTGGACGTATCATATAGATTACATAGCAATAAAAAGAAGGAAAGCAGTAGTTAAACCAATAAATTAAATACGAAGTTGATATACTGACAAAAACACGCTGACACGCTGTAGAGGATGGGTGGGTGCGGCGTCGCGATGTGCACTTGCTCCCTGGGATGTCAAGAAGAACTGTCACAAAGGCCCGATGACAGGTTAATATATAGAAAAGCGGTGCATCAAGAGATCTCATTTGTATGTTAAATATTAATATCGTTGTTATTATTGGCACTTAGAATAGCTAATGTTGCTCAGTATTAACTTTGTTTTCATTTCATGGTTTTACTGCATGAGCTGACTACTCTCCATAATATTTATCGATCTCTTATTCACCCTTATCCTATTTATGGCATATGCTATGGAGACAAGCTGCTCATCTCAAAGTCCTTCCACAACAAAAAAGCTTTTAGATTAATGTACTTTGTTGATAGATCAGAGCATACCAACCCTCTTTTCATTAGAGCTAATATGTTACCTACACATGTCCTTTATTATGAATCTGTTGCCCAGTTAATGCATGACATTAAAAATAGGTTGCACCCAATAATATTTTCAACCTATTTATTCTTGCTTCTAATGTTCACTCATAAAACACTACCAGAGATTTTTGTGTCAGGTAATTTCTATATTAAAAACTCTCAACTCTCAAGAACAAAATAATTCTTTCTCAAGATTTGGAGCTAGATTGATATTGTTATGTTGATATTTCCTCAGTTGTAGACAGGCTTAATTACAAATCATAACGCTGATTATTATTCATTACAATTCATTTGTTTTTTAATATCGCTGTTTAGCTATTAATATCATCTCCTTTGCCCTCTTTCTCTCTCTCCCTCCCTCTCTCTCTCCATTCATTTTCTTGATTTCCGGGATGGTGTTAACTTGGAAATGTATTCTTTAATTCTTGTAATAAACTTGAAACTTGAATACTAGCCAGAAAAAAACAGCACCTCTCTATGACGGCGTTGCCAGGAAACAGAAAATGCTATGACCCAGAGGCTTCTTTTGTTATTTTGCTCTAAACACGTTCTTACGTGAACGTTATGAAAGCGGAAAAACAACACTGTATCCACAGAAAGCTCCGTTAGTTAACCATCGCTCGAGGATACAATTCTTTAACAAACCACAGTTCCAAATAAGGTCCAGTTGCGAGACAGTGTCACGTGGTATATCTTTTTTTTACAAATCTTACAAATTTCTCGCGCGCTGATTGCTTATTTTTATCATTGATAAGGTGAAGACAGATAAGCTGACTCCAACGAGCAAGCACTCTACTTTGAATGTTTTGATAACTAAGATTGAGAAGTTTTCAATGTTTTTGTTATTGTAAAAAAACAAATTGACATCAGATTGTGTCAGTCCTCTTAATGACGAAATTTATATTGCTTCATCACATCATCAAAGTAGTGTGCGCATCCACTTGGCTACGCCTCTTGGATCCACACTACTTTGATAATGTGAGGACGCAATTTATCGTCAATAAGAGGAAAGATAAGAAAACTGATGCCAATTTGTTAAATGGAAGAATGATTAACAATAAATTATGAGGCGATGAATCATACATCTTTTGTTCGGTGATGAATGACTTTGGTCCCTACCCCACCCCCCTCATGAATGTTGAAATCATTTATGCCAATTAGCTTTCAAAACTCTGAAAATAAGTTCAACTTGACTTTCTTTCCTCCTTTGCTACTACTGATATGACAGAACATGTTACAACATGTAAGGACTGGATCTTCAAGCTCTTGTCAGTCTTTACTTAACTGACTGTCCGCTTGAAAGAAGTTCATTCAGTACCTTGGTGATCGACAACAGAACAAGATACTACAGAACAAAGAAATCACTTGAATTCGTAGCAGGTAGGTTACAATTTTTTTTTTTTTTTTTTTCGAGATTCGTTAAAAAAAATGGAATCCTTAAGAAAAAAGTTTTGTTACCTTTACTGCTTGAGTTTTAAAATAAAGGTTACACTGAGTTACTAAACTCGGTCTGGCCTCTATGATTTCGTCTCTGCATCTTGATGAGCGAAGAGGAGCAGGATTTAAATATTTTCACAATATATTTTTATGCCATTTTCTTTCTCCTTACGTGTTTTTTTCGGCCGTTACGTTTCTCAAACGAACAATTTAATTGAATACTAATTAGAGTGGATGAATTTTTTAACGTAACTGCAATGTTTCTTCAACATTTTCCCTCACACCTTTTCTTAATCAAATAATGTAATTGTATTTTTAAGTGCATGAAATGTTGGTTGACTAAAACGTTTAAAAAATTGCACATTTCAAAATGGTCATGAGCGAAGAGAAACATATCAGGCGGGAGGAAAAACGTTTTAAGAAATCTTTTTCTTTTCCAGGGCACACTTAACTTTTGAGACTCTCATCATGCATTTAAACTTCTTAGTGCTCTTTTCATTTTTTTAGTTTATTGTCTTTCATTTTAGTATGTGTTGGAAGTTATTAAATAGATAGCTAAAGACCAAACTGCTGTCTACAGGCTCTTTGGCTAGCTCTCCAAATGAATTCCTTCGGAAATACATGGCCCAATCTAATTCAATGAAACAAGCAAGCTGTTGACGGGTCCCTATCAGCACGAATTCCGTTTTGTATTCGTTAAGCTTCAATTTATCGGTTAATATCAATGCCCTGATGCATTTAACACGTTGTTCCTATTTCTGTAGTCGCGCTTTCACTCGGCATACAGTCAATTAGGCTGAAAAGATAAATAAAGCTGAGTGTATAAATGAGCATAAAGATGTTTAAGATGATGCTGTACATGTTGTTAATTTGAGGCGTTAACGTTGGACAAGGCAGAAGTTGTAAACCGCTTTTAATCTATTTAATCGAATTTTCCTTCACAGTATAAAATGAGGTTCTTCGTGGTCGTGTTTCTCGTGTCCTTAGCTGTGTTCGTTTCTCCCGCCATCAAGCCGGCGTGTGGACAGAAAAACAAGCCAGCCGGACAGGTAAGCTAATGATGTCACATCGCCAACTATTCCGGCCATGCGCCGCTCGCCAAGTCAGCGGATATCATGTATAAAATAAAAACCACAGGAAGCCCAAGCTCTCTCAGGCCCGGACTTAGAGAAACAAAACCTTTTGCTACGGTATTCCTGTGCTTTAATAGGTATCCTATTACAAAAGATGGCAAACGAGAGCTGAGGATTCAAGCTTTATTTTGGTAACAAACATGCCGTATTTTGCGAATAATTTTCAAGGTTTTCGCTTCACAAAGTGCCTATTCTTGAAGAAGGATCTCTCAAATATTCGTCTCAAATCGGAGCTTTTTTTTAAAAAAAACGAAAAGTAGAAATTCGTTCAATCGACCACAGATTCGACATCAGTAATCTAGAATGTGTGTATTTTAAGGATCGACCCCGGCAAATGAGGTAACTAGTT